TGTCTTAGGGTTTCTTTCCATTAAATTTTGCAGATTCTGTTAACTTGATCCTCAATTCATATCTATAGATGATCTTTTGGTTCCTTGGTTTTGAAATGTTTAATTTTGACCCAGATATTTTCTTTTTTTTGGTGATGTACACCTTATTTTTTTAACTTTTACAGAAACTTTATTGAGAATTTCATGCATGCATATAAGGTGTTTTGGTCAAATCCGTGCCCTCTCCCTCCTCTCCAACACCTCCCATATCTCCCTATCACTTTTTTGTTTTTTTTTCCTTTCATTTATTTATTTTTATGGGGCTTTTGGCTACTGTAACATTCCTCCCTCTGAAGAGGTAACCCTAAAATCTTTTAAGAATTAGATACAAGCTCCAAAATACTTTTGATATTTTTGGCCTGTGGAACAGAGTATGTTGCTAAGAGGCCCAAGGACATTTTGACTTTTAGCGAAAAAACTGGCTACTTTTCCTTGGGGTCTTTTTACCCTAACTGCCTAGCTAGTTCCTACCTCCTGTCCTTATCACACCATCCTCTGAAGGGGTTACCCAAATTACCAATAGGGAATAGGGACACTGGCTGCTCTGGCTTTTTCCATGCTAAACAGGGACACAGGGTGAGGCAGTTGGAGTACCCCTTCAGTGGGTCTAACTAAAAGACTCCCAAATTGCATAACTCTTATCTCTAAGGGAGAAAGAAAGTCCTAATAGGAGATGTGAAGGAGAAGTAAAGGCAAGAGTAATTACCATTACAAGTTCTAGACAGGGAACTAGAAAAAAGTCAGAGCAGGGCAATTTTCAAATGTTCATATAAGAGACCACTGGAATTTCTTGACAAGGGCTTCTGAAAGCATCCCTCTATTGGGTTCCTCCTCATTGTTCTTTTGTCTTCCAAGGCTGGACTCTAGAGTGATGGATTCAGGATATGCTTTCAGGTATTTTGATAGCTGTTGGAGTAGTTCGATTCAGTGTCATTTCCCTCTCAAAGGCTTCTGAAATAGGGGGAGAAAATAAATATTTCCATCATTTTAGAACAATAGCTGGTTGTGTCCCTCAGCTACAGGTGGGCACTATAGTATTGGAAACCAAGATTTGAGGTTTTACATTTGAGCAGTACTTTCTGGTTAGGAACAAAATTATCAATGAGAAATAATTGTCTAAATAACTTTTTATATAGACTTAAGTCTAATGTCCAGGAAGTGTAATCCCTTGAACTCTTAAAGAAGTATACTGATGACTTTACTCTTTGGTTATACTTTCCTTTTGGGTGTTTAAGAACATACAGTTGGCCCAAATAAGTCAATTTATTTTTATACTTAAGTTGTTTGAGGATCTGTTCCTCTGGGGTCGCATGGGCTTGGCCAAGAGGAGCACCTGGCTCCTTTCTTTTACCAGTTCCATCTATGTGAAGATAAGTCAAAGGTCCTGCTTGACCATGTCTGGCTTTTCACTTGGAAGCATGAATGAGATGTTTCCTCTGAGTTGACTCTCCTTTTTTTAGACTGGACACTGGTTCAAGTCCATCTCATGGGGTCTCCATGTCCTCCCTGAACAAGAGGGCAGGTGACTCACCATAGTTACAGGACATTTTGAGAGCTGTTCCATAGTCCCCTGGAACTTGTTCGACCTTGAAGAGGAGATTTTCTCTTGTATTATTTACTATGTGTGGTGCTTTGGAATTAGGTAGACCTTGCCCTGGTACTGACTGGATTGTAGCTCCTTGTCTTACTAACCAAATGAGTGGTTAGCTGAGTGAGCTGTTTGGCTTTTATATTCCTCTATTTTCTATAAACTGAGTTTAATGTCATGTGTTCTCTGGTTTACAGATGTATCCCAACATTGTTCAAATGTAATACACACTGAGTAACTCAAGCCTTTTCTTTGTTTATAGATCTAAAATATTTGCTTTGTCTCCTATTTGATTAGGATTTGTTAAGAGTTAACTGAAATGATTCAGAGTCTAGGAAAGATGGTCCTGAATTTAGGAATGATAATGTGACAGTGAACATACATTCATGAAACATTTGTTTTTTACTAGCCTCTCAGTAATCAAATGAAGTTGACATTACGTATGTTTGTTTCATAGATCGAAGTAAGAGACATTTGGGTAGGTTAAGTGACTTGCTTAAGGTTACATAAGAATTAAATGTCAGAACAAGAACTGAATGAAGTTCTGCCTCCTAGTTCAGTGCTCTTGTTTTCAAGTCACTGCTTAAAGTAGCATGGAGTTGTGATAGAATCAGTGATAGCTTTCATTCCAAGAGGAGTAATTTCAACAAGTAAAAGTCTCAGTGGGAAAATGTTGGTAACTTTTTTTCCCCAGTATTTTCCAGTAGAATTTTGTATAAACAATGGAAATGTTTTATAGTTACACTTTCCAGTATGGAACTTGAAAGGTGGGACTGGAGAGACACTTGCAGTTAAGAGTGCTTGCTGTTCTTCTAGAGGACCTGAGTTTGGTTCCCAGTACCCATATTGGGTGGGTCATAACCACCCATATCTCCACTTCCAGGGTATCTGATAGTCTTCTGGTTTTTGAGGACTGGCCTTTTCATAATATGTGAGACACACACACACACACACACACACACACACACACACACACAC